TATCCGGGACAAAACAAATACCCTGAATTTAGGTAAAGCTTTCTGAGCTGAAGGCAATCACAGAGATTACATCATCCACCAGAGGCCCAGAGGGATTAAGTGATTTGCTTAAGGTTATGGGGATAATAAGTAGATATTTCAGATTTTAGCCAAGGCTTTCTTGAGCTCAAATTCAGGGAAGGCCCACTCTTCTACAGCATGAATTCAGACAACGTATTATAATAATTATAATTATAATAACCACCATTTATTGAGTACATCCTCTGAGCCAAGTACTCTGCTCAGCTTTGCACATATAACTTTCTGTCCCCCACTTCATAGCTCTATGAGGTATGTCTAGTTGTTTCCATTTTATAGATTGGATGACTGAGACTCAGCATTTGTGACTTGTTCAAGGCTACGCAGCTAGCAAATGATGATAGCTGGGTTCCAGTCTCACTCCTGACTCTGCACTCTTTAAGCTAGACCAACTGCTTCACCCATGGGGATCAATATGACCACATCTTTGACTGAGTTTTCCTTTAAAATCAGTATTTTAACCCCCTGCAATGAGAGCCTTGGCTGTGTGCACCTGTACAACTTGTATCCAAATGCCAAAAAAAAAGTGATACCAGTCCCAATAATCTCAGCTCACACTCAAAGGAAGAGGGCATCATAATGGTACATTATTTGTGTAATTGTTCTTGAAAATTATCTCACTGTTTTAATAAAATCAAGTATAAACAATCTACCAAATTATTAGAACATCACCTTTAGCCTATGTAGGCCTTGGATTAGAGATCATGAACTTAAAATCAAAAAGCAAATAGTCAACTCCAAGAGGATGAAAAGGGAACATTAAGCCTGGTGCTCTGTAAATTAATACTTTGAGGTAAACTAGAAGTAGTACAGAAAATTACTATTTATTTAATATTTCTTTCTATTTGAAAGATAAACTCTCAAATGATTAGTGCTTTAACTATATTTAAAAAGTTAAAAATATACTGGAAATTGGTTGAGTGATGATGGCCCTGAGCACTTTGGGAACAATAACTACAATCATACTAGCAGTGTCATAGCAAAATATTTTAGATTTACCAGTTGCTCTGTTAAATGTTTAAGGTGTGTTAGAAGCATTAGTTCCAAGGCAAAATGAGGCGATGTTATATTTAACTGTTTGGAAATTTCTTATATTAAAAAAGATTTTAAATATTAATGCTATTTTCAACACAGGTGTGATAATACTCAATAAAGTATGGTATACTTGATATAGTGAATTTAGGAAGGTAACAGTCCACCTAGATGTTGGCCCCCTTCTGTCTCTATTAGCTACCCTGGTAGCAAAATCCTTTTTAAAATCCTTTTAAAAAATAAAGAGGCCTTTGAGCAGCTGGATGAGCAGAGTGGGGTGGGCAAGGAAAGTGCTCTTTCCTGATATACTCATGCTTTTGGCTTTGACTTCATTTAGTAACAGCAGTTCTGAGAGAACTGAGACAAATCCTTCTATGCTCCGCAAAAGCATAGGAGAAAAAAAGCTTGTCATTCACAAGCAGCTATGGACGAAACCAGCGTCAGAGTGCAGGGGTAGGGAAATTAGGGATCAAAAGAAAAAAAAAAGTTGGAGTAAAGTGCACAGTTACTGTAAAAAATATATTATTTTGATTCTAAGAAAATTAAGAGCATTTTATCTAATGAACTAGATTGCTGACCTTTTATACATTTGGTTTCCATGGAACATACAATCACCCTCGGACATAAAAGACTAGTTTGCCTTTTGTAAAAAAATTGCTTGGAGCTATATACAGGAATCTTGAGAATGCAATTCAAGGATAACATTCTGCAGCTCTTTGGGTATTGGATGATTTCCTCGGATAAGTCTACAAGGAAAGAGGAATCTGTTAAATTCACTGATTTAAGTGGGAATTTCTCCTATTTTCTCACTCCTTCCTCACCACGCTCCTTTTCCTTAAATGCCAGTACTTTCCAGTTCTCCATCCTCTACCCCTTTGGCATGAGACCGGGAAATCATGAAGAGTTTCTCCTTGTTGGTAAACTGCCTCTGCAACGGCTGAGGTGGCTGGGCCGTGGGTGGCCCTTGGCCGGGACCTTCCGGGGGGCTCTGCTCCTCCGCACCAAAGGGGGTGGCGACCTCACAGTCTTGACTTTTACTGGCTACTGCGTCCACAACCGACTCTAAGGAGGTGCCTTCCTCCTGGAGAGGGGTGTAGCCCTTATTGCCGCAGGATGGGTCATGGGACGGGGAGCTTGGCGAATCCAGCCCGGCAGGGGGCGAGTCCTCCAGCCGCTGACGGGGTGAGGGGGAGGCAGCTTTGGCCAGAAGGTTCGAGTCCTGGTCCGCGCTGCGCGAGAGGGGCTGGGGCTCGGGGGACAGCGGAGCCCGGTAGTCCGGGAGCCCGCTAGTGCTGCGGCGCCGCAAGGCCGCGTACCTGCCGGTCCTGGGCAGGCGGCCGCCCTGCCCCCTGGCGGTGAGTGCGGGCGCCGCCGCGCCGTCGTGCTCCAGTTCTCCCCGCGCCCAGCGCGCACCGTCCTGGTCACAGCGCAGGTCGGTCAAGCTCAAGTCGAGATCGCCCCGCGGGATCTCCCGAGAGCCGCGTTCCCCAGGAGGCCTCTGCCAGCTGCAGCTTGCGCCCTCCGCGTCCCCATCTCCGTTGCGGTCCCCTTGCAACGGTAGCAGCGCTAAGGCGCTCAGCGAGGAGCCCACAAGGGAGCTGGCAGTGCTCTGGCGCCCCCAGCTCTCGGGTGGGCTGCAGGGCGCCGGGCTGCCGCTGCGGCTGGCTGCGGCGGCGGCAGCCCGGCGACGGCTGGCCACGCCCGAGCGCTCGCTATAGATGCTGTACACCGCCTCTGCCAGGCCCGGCGGCTCCCGCGGGCAGCGCGGGGACGAGGCCAAGTCGGGAGGGGACGCGGTGCCGACCCCTCCCAGCGCCGCGGAGTGGGACCACGAGCCCCGGGCTAGCATCGCTGTTGCCCCGAAGGGGTCCCCGGCGCCGCCGCAGCTCCCAGGCTTCAGCTCCAGGGCCGGCGACTGCACGTAGCTGAGAAAGCCGTTGAGTGGCACGGCCCCGGGGGGCGCCGAGACGGGGACGGAGGACGAGGAGGGGGCGGCGGCCGCCAGGTCTTTGGCACGGAGGCTGTGTACGTCGATGACCGTAGAGTAGAGGTCGCGCAAGTTGATAATCTTGGTCTTCTTGTCTCGGTTCTCATGGAGCACCGCATTGGCGCAGATGAACAGGAAGATGCCGATACCCATGATGAGGGGCCCGAAGACCTTGAGCTTATCAGAGTGCAGGTAGCCAGAGAAGATGCGATAGAAGAAACCCACAGACGTGGAGGAGGACGGAAAAGGGGCGGAGGATCGCGCCGGAGGCGTGCTTCTGGGCGCGCCCACGGAACTGGAGTTGACAGCCTCCGTGGTCCCAGGGTGGCCCCTGGCCCGGTTTTTGCTGCCTCTGCTGCTATTGATCGTGGTCGGGACGCGGAGGCCACCGCCCGCGGGTGGCAGCTGCTTACCCACCTCCCTATTGGCCCCACTGGCCTTAGGCCAGTAGCCCACCACCGCCATGGCAATGCCCACCAGCAACACCAGGATCCCACAGAGGGCGATGAGCCCGGAGATAGAGCACAGCTTCAGTTTGCCTTTCACCACCACCACGTCGTTCTTGCGCCTCTTCTTGGCTTTCCGCTTGCGCTTGGGAACCTGGCTCTGGGGACGGAGGGGATCCTGCTTTCTGGCGGAAATCCTCAGCAGGCCGCCGGTGGCAATCATGACGAGCCGGTGGAGTGCTCAAGGCTAGCCCCTGGGGCGGAGGCTTGTGCAGAGGGGAGCGCCAGCTGCCCGCTCGCTGCTCCTCCACCTCCTCCTGCTGCAAAGCAGAGGAAGACAGTCAGAGGGTATAGGCTTGGCTGCAGCAACCTGCCATGTGTTGAAATTGTCCCGCTCCCTGATCCCACCACATGTGTGTCCCCAACCTCGGGGCCTTTATCCACTAACGGAAGTGCGGCATATAGAGACCAGGGGATGGGATAGATGGATTAGGGAAGGGAAGCGTTGTTGCAATCATTGATAAGAGGTGATAAAACACGTTGACAGAACGCCTTTCTCTCTCTCCCTTGCCCAATCCCCCCACACTCTGTAGGTAACATTCCAGCATGGGTCATTGCAAACCCTGCTGGCCGGCAGCCAACGAAGTTCTGACCATTTAATAGAAACTAAATGTGGGACTCAAAGTAGTGGCTGATAACTTCTACTGGCAAAAGCCATCCCTGTGCCCTACTGGAATCAGAAGATTACCAAGAGAGTTGTCACAGGAGTTTCACGTCTATATGTAAGCCAAGCTTTAGTTAAGGCGGGGCCTAAAGTCACTAAAACAGCCACAAAAGTTACCACTTTCTAAAGATAAAAGGAATTCATTTCACTGGATGAGAATAAAAGGTCATATGTATGCTGGCAGGCAGACAGCTTATTTACCTCAGATAATTAATAGAGAGTCTATTGCTGGGAGAACACCAGAGAGATAGATATGTCAATACTCTGACAATAAATATCTGCGCAAAGTTGTCTCCCACCAATTATTGTTCCTACAGCTAAAGGCAAGCAGAGCCCTCTCACAGCCTTTTCCTCATCTCTTTTCTGCAACATCTGGACAGCTTCTTGGGGTGGAATATTTAGTTTTAGGTAACTGGTTATGTAACTGAGCTCTTCTTTCTGGCTTCCTCTCCTCCCTCCGAGGAACTCCCTTCAAGTTGTCATGTGCTAGATCTCATCAGGGAATTTAAGAGATCCCCTAGAAATCTCCAAGAGAAAGAGCTCTTTCTCCTGTGGAAAAATTACAACCTAAACAAAAAAAATCCATTATTCTGCCATAATAGCTTTCTGACCCCTTATGAATGTGCCAACACTCTTTGAATCCCACAATTCAAATGAGTAGGCAATTAACTAGGTACAGCAGTCTACATAACAATGATGATTTGTAGAATGACTTCTCCCCAAATGAGAGAACTGTTTTCTTCATCTTTATCTCATGAGGTTATTTTTAGGAGGGAAGGGTGGCAACAATCAATGGACTATCCTATAGGAAGTTTAGTTGTTTATAATAAAGTCGTGGTTAGATAAATGCGCATATGTGTCTTTGTGGATATCTGTTAGCTTCTAAAAACTTCAATCCTTCTGGATCCCCAGAGTAAAACGTTTTCTGTCCACTGGTTGTGTCCCCGCCTATAATAGAGATGATAAAATGGCTTTGTATGAATTTAAAGGATTATATATCACTCACAAGCCTTCTGGCATTTTATCCTTTATAAAATAATTCATGGTTTAGAATAAATTGCCCTTTGTGGGGAAATGTGGGATGACTTAGGTAGAATTTTGCTTTTAATTGGTGCCCGGGTGAAGAACTTTGGCCCTTGAGTCCCTCTATTATAGCAATATAGGCAGGATCTTTTCTCCACCAGTGGAAAAGCAAATGGTAATCAGCACTTTACAATATTTGCAAATCAATTATCTCCTTAGAATTGAGTCAGTTTTCAGTAAGGAGAAATACTAGGTAGGTTATTAGAAAGGGGTCAGTAGATAGAATACATCTATAACCCTTTATAATTTTGTTTTAAGAAGCTGCACCAGTAAGTACAAATTGTAAACAAACAAAAACAGCAACAACAACAACAAAAAAACCAGTAAGAATAGCTTATTGGCCACCAATAACCCCCCAAAATAAGCACATTATGTAGTTTTAACATACAGACAGCTATTTTAAGTCATCCCTAGACTCTAGTATCTTATCTGGAGATCTGTGGTTATTTAAAAAAGGATTTAGGAGCCAGACGTTTTAGAAACAAACCCAGACTCAGTTGGCAGGGCGGCTCTCCCAGAGGAGAGAAGGGCTAACATTTTTTGGGGGGTTGATAAGGTGCACCAGGATGCTGGGTGTCTAGGGGAGGAAGGTCCTCTCATGTGTTTCTCCTCAGAAAGCAGCTTTGGCTCTGGGTAGAATGTAAGGAGGAGTGGAATGGATTTCAACCATCGTTTACAGAAGATCTTTAAAATTAGTTTAATAGCTAGTAATTAACTCCCGAGTTTATTATTCTTTCAGCTCTGTTGAAGGCTGAACTCCTTTCTAATGTATCACCATCTGACGTGAAATACTGACAAGGGTCAGATGCCATAGAAGATCCACCTTTGAGGCTTTTCTTCATACATGATGAAGGAAAACAAACTTAGCAGTCGAGGTTGGCTACCCTTGCAATTTGCTGCCTGGTACTGGTCTTTCCGTGGTTAAGGAATGGAGGATGGGGGAATGTCTAAAAATACAACTGCTTCCAAGAGAGACACTCAAGTTCTCCGCTCATGATGGATTAAGCCCCACTCAGTGGCGGAGGCTCGAAGCCCACAGGATGAGAGCGCTCTGCCTGCCCAGGACCCAACCAAGGTCCTCGACCCCAGCTCCCTCATTGGCAGGGCAGCGAGCCCCTTGCCCTCCCGCCCCCCTTTTTGGTCTGCTTATTTATGTTGGAGTCACATGAGTGCAGCAGCTGGGAGTCCGCCTCTGGAAAGAAGACAGGCAGGACGGGAGTGAGGGCAATCGGAACTCGCTTTTTCTGGGCGCATCTCAGGTAGCCCGCCCAGGAAAACGACTCTCCCCTCACACCCGCCCGGGGGACCAGGGATCGGGATAGGAGGGGTGGGGAGGGGCAACTCCGGGGCTGAGGACAGACATAATTGCTCAAAATGGCAGCACTAGAAGCAAACAATATCGCTCACTTACCCGGGAAGACTGGGGCAGCCCGGGGCCGGCGATCGGGCTCTCGGGAGACACAAAGGAACCATGGAGAAACTTTTTCAGCCCAAGCCCGCCGCGGAGCGCAGGAACAGCGCCTCCGGGCCCTGCATCGCGCTGCTCAGCAGCCCCGCGGGGGCGAGCGCCCGCCCCGG